CCCCCCCCGGCTCTGCCTGTACTGTTTGGAGAGCAAATTAATTGGCATTAATTTAATGTCCCCCAGGTCAAGTTTGTCTTGCTTATGATGGTAATTGGTGAGCATTCTCCCTGTCTTTTATCTCAGCTGATGAAGATTTTCATCGTGCTTTCTCTCCCTGTTCTGTTGAGGAGGAGGAAGAATGAGAAACAGCTGGGTGACCCCTCTGGCAGCCAGGCAAGATTAACTCACTACAATAGCATAAGGATTTATTGTACTCAACAACCTTGTTTACGATTCTTGTCCCCCTCCACCACCCCCAAGCTAGGGTAATTTTGTATGTAATTGAAAATGATATGATTATATGAAAAGCAAAGCTAATGCGTCAGAGAGACTATCAGGAGACACCTGAATCTTTGACATATTTAATTCTCCCAATTTAAGCGTCATTTCTGAGCTCTAAAATATAGTCTCTGTTTTCTTAATGAATGTTCAGCTGAAAGATGAGGTCTTCTTTTCCTAGGCTTTTTCTTTCTGTAGTGGAGCTTTCACCCTATGCCAATTTTCCAGTGATGTTTCTTTCTTAATGCAAAAACCACATCATGTTAGCTCTTAATTATTTCTCGGTTTCTAATGGTTTTAGAATGAGACAGTGTGGGACTAAAGGCTAGGAGTGTTATCTGTTCTGGGTATGTCTGTGCAAAGGGAAGGTGATAAGATAAAACTCGTACAATATAAATTACAGCAAATCCCAGCCTTAGAATATCATTCTCTTTATGCAAACAGAAAAAAAAAAAACAAAACAAAACAAACAAACAAACAAAAAAACAGAGATTTCTTATTAAAATCAGGATGCTAGATACAAAATCCCTCCTGGACTCTATGTGCACACCCCTGAGAGAAATGACTGCATCAGGGTCAATCTGCTTTGCCAAAACTCCTATTAGGAGCTCCTACCAGCAGCTCCAACAGCTGTGCTGGCAGCTTGCTTATTTGCAGGAAAGTATTCTAGCTCGCAGCCCTCTAACACTTACATCGGCTTGGCTTTTTTTTTTTTTTTTTTCCCAGGACTTGTTCTTCTGTTAGCTGATAAAGATGTGCATTCAGTGGGAAACTGGAACGAGGGCAGTACAAACCAAGTCTGAGTACTCAAAGCATGCTCTGTCTGTACTGGCATTACATATTATGAGTGCATCAAACATAATAATCTAATAAAACAACAGGTCATTTCAAGTATCTTTTTTAAAGGTGAAGCTGGAAAAAATGTTATTATGCTGAAATGATGCCATTATACATGACGAGCTTTTTGGTACTGTCATCTCTCTTTCTAGAAATAAGAAGAATATAACACTTCTTTAAAATATAACTGTTTCAAATCACCAGAACTGATATATGGCAAATGATCACCTGCAATCCTTGGATTAATTAAATAATTACAAGTCAATCTAACCGGAACAGGGGCCGCTAACAAGATTGGCAGGAGTATGTGCAGGCTGTCTTCTCCAGAACTGAAGCCTCTCATTTGAGTTTTGCCAGAAAAGCATGCGTTTATACAGCAGAGGCCACTTACTTTTATATGTGCCCATCAAATTATTTAAAGCAACTGAAACTACCACCAAAACTCTGGAATCCTTCCTTGTAACAGAATCCTTGTGACAATCAGGACTCCTTCATCCATTAAAAGCTCTGGGAACAAATAGAATTAGATAGTGACTGGTGACTGTAGAGAACTAAAGACTAAGGGTTCCTATTCTACAGGAAGTCTCACGCAGCCTTATACTGCTGATAGCACATAGAAATGCTGGATCTACTATTGGATGATTCTGACCCTGAAAAGGGTGCACCTCGTAAAGAGCTCTTATCACAAAAAAAAAAAAAAAAAAGTCTACTTAATTACACCAGACTGCCAAAAGGATAAAGAATGAAGAGGAAGGAGTGTCCCAAAGCAAACAAACTTGAGCAGAATTTTATTACAGTACTTTTCCACTGCTGCAGGCACCAACGTTGCTCCTTGTTGCCATGCTGCTGCTGAATTGCTTCCCTTTTGTACCTGTCTGGAAGTCAGAAAAGCTACAGCACTGGTATATTTAGATTATCTAAGGCTATCTGGCAATTCGATACACACAAACCAGGATAAAGTTAGAGGCAAAGGATGGTTGAATTGGGGTTTTTGTGCTGCAAGAAGAAATTTGTGTACCTTTGCTATTTTCCCAATATTCAGCATTGCTATGATTTTGAATCCAGGGAACAATGCGAAGAATGTATTTTTTGAAAAGTTGTTGCACTTTTTGTAATAGACTTTTGCTTAGTTGGAATCTATTAATAGGTTTGAGTATCTCCTGATTAAAAGAAAAATATGTTCCTTGCAATCTCTCAATTCCAGCTAATTTACAATTATTTCTAATGGCATCCTGTCCTCTTTGCTGTATGTGCTATTGTTTATTTATGCCAAAAATGCATATTAAGCTGGGACCAAGGGGTATGTTCCAAATGCCAAATAACAATTATTACTTATAATAATTATTACGTGTTGTTTGCAGAAATCTTGTTGCCTAAATAAAGGCAATATTCCTTACCTAAATAGTGTCTTCTGTACTAAAATATTTTGGTTCATTGATATCTGTCACAGCTCCTATTCAGCCATGAATTGGTGCTGGGATCTCATGGTGCCAAGAATACTAAGCTACATCCCAGTATTTCTCCTCTCCTGGAAAAGCAAGAGTCTCTTGTAGCTAGGCTTTGATGTCTGAAGTATATTGTTAGGCACAGAACAGTCTGAATAACAGTAATAAAATTGTGATTTGAAGAACCTATGCACTACTTGTTTGGTTGATTTTCCCATTTGAAAGGAAAAAAAGAATATGTTATTTATTTTGTGTTTGGAGGTTACATAAGGGAAGCAGGTCCAAGAACAGTGAGGAAGGAACATTCACAAAGTATTTGTATTACTGCTGACTATGTAGTAATGACTCGTGTGCTTTGGTCTCATGATCCCAATGGAGGAAAGGGAGTACCAAATGTGGCAGCTGTAAGGATTGCTGTGGATATCCAATAAGTACTTTACTTGGCAGATTGTGTTTGGTAAAATTGATTTTTTGTTTGCTCAGTATTTCTTTGTGCACTGGCTCTTCTCACAGCTCACTGGTTAATGTATTGGGTTGAGACTAAGAACTTTCACTTTTTTCACACTGTACACTGTGGAAAGTAATTTTACCTGTTTCTCATCAACAACTCAGATTATAATAACTCTTTCCTGTAAAGTATATTGATATGTACTGTGAAAATGAATTAAAACCCAGTTACTTCATCTAGTTGTATCAATTTTTCCTACATATTTAACTCTTTCATCCACTGGTGTGTTTCTTTTATCCTGTGCATTCCATCCCTTGATGTCTCTTTTGGGTCTGATTTTTCTGACTGTCTAGTGTTCACACACAGTGGAATTCTCTGTTTTCTAATCTGACTTCTACAGGGATTGTATTCCATATACTTTTGCCCAACCAGTTATCTTGATTGGGTTGGTCATTTCTATTTTTTAATTACTGTATAATTTAGTACATGGTGTGCTAATGATTAAATTGAACACAGGTCTAACAAGCCTTCACCCAGGTAACACTCTCCTTCTAGCAAACAGTCAGCTTTTGCCTTACGACTTCACTGGATGTATATAGGACTTGTCAATGCCAATTGTGTTATGCAGGTATGCATTTCCTATAGACCCCTTAAGAATTACAAGGACATGGAATGTTTGCGTTTCACACCTTTTCACTTAAAAATCCATTATTATGCATGTACCACTAGTTATGAGACTGCTTATTGTGTTTACTGGATCAAATCCTTTACTAGGCAGAACAGTGCCAGCTATAAAAAAGGTGCATGAAGGAAAGAGTGAAGTGTATGTTCATTAAAGAAGACTTAGGGGAGACCTTATTACCATGTTCCAATATTTGAGGGATGGCTACAAAGGAAATGGAGATTCTCATTTTACAATCAGTCACATGGAAAAGCTGAGGAGTCATGGGTGCAAGTTACTGCTGGGGAGATTCTGACTGGTCACAGGAGGAAAGTTTTTCCCAGGAACAGAACAATCAGTCACTGGAGTAACCTCCACAGGGAAGTGGTGGATTCCACAGCGCTGGGCAGTTGTAAGGTTCAGCTGCACAGGGTGCTGGGACACCTAATCTAGGTCATGCTTTGCCTAGGGAGGTGGAACCAGATGATCCTTGAGGTCACTTCTAACCTGGTGTTCTATGATTCTATGATTCTCCTAATTTAACTTGTACATAGCCTATAGAGACCAGAAGTGCACGAATTACACTGCCCCTAAGCATGTGTTGTATTATATAGGAGTTAGCAAGTCTAAGCATTTTTTACTTTCATTTCACTACTGCTATGTTATGTCTCTTTCTCATGTCCACCTCTCTCTTGTGTTGGAGCCCCAGATCTGGACACAGAGCCCCACGTGGGGTACCACCAGAGCGTCTCTAGAGCACACTTCTTGTTTTGCAATAGCCTCATTAGACAACGCGTCCGCAGGTGACAAAGGCGGAGGGCACCAGTCACTGTGGCGAAATCCGCCTTAACAGCAAAGGTAACTTCACGCCTACGCTGATCCCACACCCTACCGCGCCGCACCCGGTCCTCCCGGCGGGACGGTGCCCTGGCTCCTCGAAGGCTGCGCGGGGCACGGCACCACTGTCGCACACTCTGCCACAACCACCGGCGCCCCACTGTGTTTTTGCGGACCCCGCCGCCAGCGCTCCCCGGGCAGCCGGCAGCGTCCCGCCGCGCTGCCCCTGCAGTCCACAGCGCGGCCTCGAGTGCCCTCCGGGCTGCGGGGAGCGCCGGGTCTGTCCCGCCGGCAGGCGGTCAGTCACACCGGGCACCGACGGCTCCGGCAGGACGGGGCGCTGCCACACCCTCCAGACGCGGCCATTGGCGAAGGAGGCTGTCAGTCAGCGGCGGGCGGGCGCGGGCGGTGCGGACCGCTATAAAGGCGGCGGGGAGGAGAACGCTCCGGGATGCGCTGTGGTGACCGGTTTGGGTGCTCTGTTTGCGGCGGCAGCGGGAAGGTTGGTCCCAGCGCGGAGGTGCCACCGCGGGGACTCTCTGAGAGCAGCCTGGACTCGCAGCCCTCGGTGCCACCTGTAGCCCCACTGCGTCCCGCGTGGCCGGCCGGCGTCAACATGGTGGATGTGTTCAGCGGGAGGCTCCTGGTCAGCAAGAACGGCTGCAGCGTGGACCCCGAGGAGGCCCTGCAAAACAAGGTCGTGGGCTTGTACTTCTCCGCTGGCTGGTGCTCGCCGTGCCGCGACTTCACCCCCATCCTCTGCGACTTCTATAAGGAGTTGCTGGAGGGGAAGCGCCCTCCTGCCCCCTTCGAGGTCGTCTTCATCTCCTCCGACCGCAGCGCCGAGGAGATGGCGGGCTACATGAATGACATGCACGGGGACTGGCTGGCCCTGCCCTTCCACGACCCCTACAAACAGTGAGTACCGGCGGCAGCGGCCCCCCGCCCGCCAGGGCCCGGGGCAGTGCTGCGGGCTGTGTCTCTGCGGACACCCTCCTCCGAAGTGCGGGTGGTTTAGCAGTAGGGAGGTGTGACCACGACGTCCTCGTTGCTAAAGCACCGCGGGACCTCCGCCTGCCCTTCTGATCCACGCCTGCCTTTCTGATCCACTCCTGCCCCCAGGCTGCACTGGGCTCCTTTCGGGGGAGCGCACTGTTCAGCACCCCGTCAGAACAGTCCTGTCTCCCTCCTGCCCTGTGGCAGCGGGTGCTGTTAGGGGGACCTCCCTGAGCTCCCGCGAAGGTGTGCCACAAACTGACACTGAACTAACAGCTTAGTTGCTTCACAGAAGTAACTGGGGCTTTAGCCTATTGACATCTGTAAAGACCGCGATGAAGGAAAACTAGGTTTGTGTAGCTAATTTAGGATTTAAAAGAGCTTTGAAGAAGGCTTAATAACGACTCCGCGTATTGAGATGACCTGAACAGTGAGTCAAAAATAACGGCAAACGGTTGTTTTTCAGCACAGCAGTAATTGCTGTTTAGATTGTTCTGAGTTGCCTAGCTTTTTAATGCTCTGGAGAAAAGGCAAGTGAAGAAGCAGCAGAACTTGTAGCTTTACAGCTTAGAGGAGAGCATATCAAACTGGAGTGTTTGGGGCAGATACAGGTAAGCTAGATGAAAAAGAAACATCGTAACAGCTGCAGTGTAGCTGAGGCAAATAGATGCACGTGGTAGCTAGGTTGAAAATCTTTTGCTCGTAGGTCCCTAAAGGGGCGTTCCTGTAGGCAGCTTGCTCAGCAGAATAGCAGAAGGAAAGGAAATGCTGAAAAGTAACAGGGTGAAGGATAATATCAGTCTGTCTTGATGATATAAATTAAGGGTGCAGGTTCATTTGTGTGGCTGTCAGAAACATGATTTAGCTCATATCAAGAAGTATAGATGGGATTATGGGGGAGCAGGTGAGATGTTTGTGGCTACTGAAGTGCCTATAACTAGGGACTAAGGTATGTATAAGTACTGTAAAGGGATTTCCCCCCCTCCTCACCCCCATAAATAATGTGCAAGTAGATTGTGGAAAACATTGTTACAGATGACATCAAAGTCAAGGAGTTAATGTGACTTTTAAGCATAAGCTGGGTAGTAAAACTCACAGCGAGATTTGTTCTAACAGAGAAGTCTATACTAGTATTCATTTAATTGTAGATCCATTCCTGTGTGCCACCCAGGATAGAGCTGTGAAACCTACTACTACTCGGTGTGGAGCAGGTTTTACTAATCAGTGCACTTTGGCAACCTCATGCCTGAAGCCAGGAGCTATTTCATCCTTTCTTGGCTTATTCCTGGATGTCAGCAGGCAATTAATGTTATGCCTTTTTAATGACAGTTTCCACTGACTTAAAATTAGATTGAAATAGCAATGCTGTTTTCCACAGTTCTCCAAAGGCTCCCCAGGCAGTAATTTTATTTGGTATCTGCTAATCCTAATAGAATTCAGGCAAATTTCCTGACAGAAACGTAGCACTTGAAGTTACAGCATCCAGCAAGCTGTTCAGTGTAGACCATGGGAATGCGCTTACAGCTTCAGCCTCTGGGGATTAGGGGTCTATTTCTGACTCTGCTCTTGCCCAAGTCATGTGGAATGGAGGTACAGGGATAGTTTAATTGGCTTTTCTGTGTCAGTCCATAACACCCTTCAGAATCCTGTGGAGAAACATGGTTTGGCCTATCACGGATAATGCAAGATCATATTATTTGAATGGGCTTACTGAAGAACAAAGTGCAGAGGTATATGAAAAGGCAATGTTTTGGGAGTTCTGTTTCTTGCATGTAACAAACGGCTGTGTGGAGATGTTCAAGGTATTTAGGTTGAATTAACTTGTAGATTGGCTTCAGGGTTACTGGTGAATCATTGAAGATGTAGAGCAGGTGGATGTGTGTTCATTAAACCAAACTAGAATTCTGGCTGGATACAAGTTCTAAGGTAAAATATAATTTTAAAACTGACTAGCATAAATTAATGATTTGATTAATGATATTTATTAACATTCACCTTTTTATTAATTTTTTATGTTAATATTTTTAAGGTTCTGTTGTCAATAATTCAGATTTATTGCTCTTTTGTGGGCTGTGTAAAGAAGGCATAATTGCAATGTAAACTGAAGTTAATTCAAAATTCGCCATCTAAAACACACTTCACAAAAGCATGGAATTTCGTGGAGAAGAATTTTGGGTTTTTTAAGAAATAGCCTGCATTCATACCTGTACCACCTCAAGCTGTGTTGGGAAGGTTTAGACTGGGTATTAGGAAAAATGTCTTCACTGAAAGGTTGGTGAAGTGTTGGAACAGGCTTCCTGGGGGAAGTGGTGGAATTGCCTGGAAGCGGTCAAAAAAAAGCCTGTGTAGATGAGGCCCTCAGTGGCATGGTTTAGTGGTGGATTTGGTGGTCCTGGGGTGGTGGTTGGGTTTTATGATCTTGAAGACCTTTTCAAACCTGGTTGTTCCCATCATTCTACATCAACAAATGCTAGTAAATGGGAATTGATATTTTAACTATAATGCACAAAGACACACTGCTGTGTTTATACTGAGCCCTGGTGTGAAAGGTGGTGTTCTCTGCGTGATGCCCAGCGTATGCTACTACTTGCAGGCTGCCTGATAGATAGGTAAATATTTACCTGAGTTCATGTCTTGTACACCTTAATGAAAATTAGAATCCCAAAGAATTCCTGAAAAAGGACAATAATACATCTTATGTTATGAAGCTTTAGGTATGAGGGTGGACTGGCACCCAGAAAAAATTATGGCAGGGGGAGAGGAGGCTAAAAAAGGAAGGCAGAAGGAGAAGAGAGAAAGTATCCGAGCAGTTAAGATCTATTGCCTATTCCAGTAACAGATCTAAAACACAGCCCCATGCAAACTGCAAGTTTGTCCCAATCTTAATTTCATCTTTTTAGTATTTCACGTGAAAATGAAGGTTGACCTCTCATGTTCTAACCTGCATGGCCGAGGTCTGACACCACAAACAATTTGGCTAAGAGATTGCCTATGTCGGTACAAAGGTTACTTGTTAAGTCTTCAATAGCTGTTTTTTATTATAGCCTCCTTTTGCTTGGTCTGTTTGGGTCTTAGGTGTTTCAAGTCAGTAAGATGCCATATGTACCTTTACACTTACCCAGGAATAGCTAGACAACTGATTTTTAAGAATGTCATTAGTTACATCACTGTATTTTACCTTAAGAGAATTGGGTCCCTTTGTAGGATGTGTGATGTTTCTGTTTATGGTTAGTGATTTCATAAATTGTCATGGGAGTTAGTCTCATTGCACATATGTACCTTGTGCAGGTAAGTCACAGGATATGAGATCCCTTAGGAGAGTATGATCTTAACAGGTTTTAAAGTCATTTTGGTAAGCACTTGTACAGTGGTAAAGAAGCATTGTCTGCAGAATTGTTCTGAGCAATCTTCAGGTCATTTTACATCAACCTTTAGCCCTGCTGTGTAAATAAGATGCAGTGCTGGAGTGTTCCCTTAGGAAAGCCAAGTGTTAGGTTCCAGTCTTCATACCAAATTACCTTCTGTTTCCTACTGTCCTGCCTCTGACTGCTACAGTTGCGTTAAGCTTTTATTGTCTGCTGAGCTAGTTAAATGCATCTTCCACCCATGTTGTCGTATAAATGACAGGATGTGATAGTCATTTGTGTTTTCCATATGAACCAGCTTTGAAATGTTCTTTTTCTCCTGTTTTTGTAGACTTCGAAAAGGTCTAGGAAGATTTTTGGTTGTTTGCTTCTGAGTTCAGTGAGAAAGCAAACCTATTGCTAGACAGCATTACTGTTGCTTCTGTAATATTTCCTGCATTACTGCTCAATCAATGTAATGACAGAGCAGTATCCTTCACCTGTGGTGTTCCTACTCAAGGAAAACCACAGAAGGAAAGACGTTTCAGGAATGCTTTCTCTGGGCCAGTATTTCACTCAAGACTTACTTTCTCTATTTTTAAAACACCTCCAATTTCCAGGAAATCGTAGAGAACGTCTAGAAAAGTCTTTTATTCTTTAACAGTGTCTGCAAATCTTTTTTTTTTTTTTTTTTAATACTCAGCCAAAATTCTTTGGCACTTGAACATCACACAGCTGATGTTCTTGGTTGTTGTGGTAGCACTTAGGCACTATCTTTCCATTTAGTGTTTAGTTTTTGTTTTGAGTATGATGTATTTCATATTTAGGAAACTGGGTATTCCATTACTACTAATTGTTGTGCCTCTATCCTCTGGTTCTTCTAAAGGTGCTCAATTTCTGCTCACTTTGATATAAAGCAATGCAGGGAGGTAATTTTCCCTGCAACAAATGGTTTTGGGGAGCTTGTAACTTTTAGCTGATCCACTGCAGTTCACCACAGTTTTCTTGTACCCCTTCTGAAATGCATGACCTCTTCCTCAAAACTTTGCATTTTTTTTCCTGGGACTCCTTTTAGACTGCGCAACTTGCACCTTAGGTGTAGATTTTATGTTCCTTACTTTTCCTGTTAGATACTGGCATGTCTATCAGCATAGCTTGCGTTCCTGAAGCTAAAACTGTGGGCTATTACTTGTGAGGGCGATGCACTAGATAATATTTGCTTTAACTTTTGCCTTCCAAAATTAACATTATGAAATCATTATTATCTATATTGTTTCATTCATGACTCTCTAATATGCACATCTAGTATAATGAATAGGTGTGCCAAGGATCACCTATGAATAATGTGGTATGGTAGGAGGTAGATTATAGTTTTTCTACTTTTTAGCTTTGTTTGGAAGGGTGGGGAAACACCTTGGGGTGCTTCTGACTTTGTGACCATCAGTCAAAAATGTTTTCCTTCTTTCTCTGGACATTTTGGTGTTAGTGAGAGTAGTGCTTTTGCTGTTTCCGTGTGTTTGGAACAAATTTGATTTTGCAGTGTCCCGATAAATATGGCAGGAAACTTCGCACATTCTTTGCCTCCTTTTCTTTCTTATGTGGAGCCGGAGCAGTGAACTGGTTCTAGAGTTTCTGGAAACACTTGAGGCTCCTCCTGTTGAGCAGCACTCTCAAAAACTAACCCTGACTTTTATCTGATGCCTACTGAGGTGTTTAATGAGCTCAGAAGTCATTGACTTGTCTTTTCATTACCTCTATTATGAATTTAAGATTCATGCCAAAAAATTGTTGTCAATTCTAGTGAGTAGGTTGTAGTTGCAACATTGTTTTTTCTGGCTTATTTATATTCTGATATTTTTTTTTATTTGCACTGAACCATCACCCTTCCAAGTGAGTTAAATTTCTTGTATATAAGATACCATCTTTCTATAAAAATAGATACATGTGTCTTGCCCTTTCCCTCTTTGTCCTGTAAGAGTGTCATAGCTGTTAATGTTTTCCTTGTAAATGTTTTGCATCTTGCCACTTCTGTTTCCTGTGTCATGCTCAACTGAAATAGCTTACTATGCGGTATTCTTTGTTTCTCTTTCTTCTACATATTCCTTTTGTTTGTCTTACTCCAATCTTCCAACTCATCAATGTAAACAGTGAATTCTGTTTTACTACGTGGTGTGGCTGAGAACCTGCTGCTTGTGCACCTTCATCTCCATAGTGTGTGTAATTAGTCATGCCTTCTTGTTTATCATGTGCTGGTGTCAGCAAGTAGTTTTGTTTCCTTTTGGATGTTTTGTGCCCTCTAGGATTTCCCCCTCCTGAATGTTGTTTTTATTGCCAGCATTAATAATCCATTTATTTAACATGTATCTTGAGTTTGATCCCATTAAATTTTCATTGTTCAGGCGTCTTGTCTTATTAATTTTCTCCTCGGTTACCTCTGTTTGTCAATTGTTTGAATAGTCCCCGATTTTGTTCATGGAACATCACTGTTTCTATGGCTTTTTAACTTTTAAACTCTATTATAACTACATTTACATTATGAAAAGGCTATCTAAGACAGTTACTTGTAATCTATCTGGAATTTTCCACGTTCTGACATGCAGAAATGGCTGCTATTGTCTATGTGATGGGCAGAGGAGTTGAAAATGTGTTCTTGGATAACTTAGATGGGTGGCCCTTATTCCAGATCTTTTGATTGCTTACATTTTATATGTAGAGGGCCTGTTTTACTAATGGAGCATAAGGTATTTCTGCAGTCTTTTCTGTTTACACTAAAGAATTATGCACCATGCTTTAATGGAGGTTATTGGAAGCAGCTCTATGGGACTGTTGCACTTGAACATCTTGGTGTAGGAATAAATGTCTAATGCTAATTGAGATCTTCCTCCTATCAAGCAGAAAAGGGACCAGAAGATAGCTGTTTCGGGCTAGTAAAAGCAAGGTGGGTGTGTCAGTTCCCATCCATGGACCTCCTTATAGTCTAGAGTCAGTCTCTGCTCGTGTGAAGATCACAGGCAGCAGTGAAGAGCAGTTGCAGGAAAGGTGTTGCAACTCTGATGTCCCTGAGCTAAGTTTCACCATGTGAACTCCCAGCTGCAGCCTAGTCCATCTCCCTATACTGCCCAGTGCTCTGCCTCAAGCTCTGAGGAAGCTCAGGAAGTCATCACTTCTGCTCTCCCATGTATCCTGACAAGAGTACCCTTCATCAAAGAGACTAGGAGTTTTCTTAAAATGCTCCCTAATGTGTTCATTTTTTTTTTTTTTTTTTCCTCTCAGTGATCTGAAGAAGAAATACAACATAACAGCAATTCCTAAACTGGTGATTGTGAAACAAACTGGAGAAGTTATTACTGACAAGGGAAGAAAACAGATCAGAGACAAAGGACTATCCTGTTTTCAGAACTGGCTGGAGGTTGCAGAAATTTTTCAGAATTTTTCTAGCTGAAAATTTGGCAGATGAAAACAAGACAAGGCATCATGGAAAACCATAGAGTTCTGAAAAGATTGCCTTGTTCAGAACAAAAAGGGTAAGGCTTATTTATCTTTGCTTGCAAACACATTTTGGTTTCGCCTTGAAGATTAGCTATTCCAGTAACTCATAAAATGCTGTTATTGTTTTATTTGTATTGTTCTATCTACTATTATTCAGTATGAACCAAAGCATTCCATATAGTATTGAAATACTTCAAGAGGATAGGCTGTTTTAGACAGTAATAACGGGCCACTGTGAAATCTATGCAAATGCTTTCCAAATCTGTAAAGTAAAAATTATATTTATGCACAAACCTATTTTTCCTGATTAGCACATATTTTAAAAAAGGGAGATTGTTTGCTTCAATAAATAAATATTTATGAAGTTTGTCTAACATCTGTCTTATGTACCTTAAGATAATCAGAAAATGTCAGGTTTTTAAAATAGGGTATATGTCAGTACTGAAGAAATGCTTTTCTTTGTCTACTTTGCGCGGGATTTACTTAAGTTTTACTGAGTATTCCTTACTACTGGATTTTTAAGCTTGGCACTGTAAGCCAAGTTATCTGTAGAGTTAGCATCAGATCAAGTTTAAGAATAAAGCATTTTCCATCTCCATTTGCCAAAGTGCATAGGAGCAAACATCAAAAATTATACCAGCTCTCTTTGAGTGCGCATGTTGTTGCAGATTATCTTAAGTTTTACTGAATCTTTCTATATTTTTTTTGTGAAACAGTTATGGGAACATCTTGATTTGAGATGTTAGACTTTATGTTAGCATGGGTTGCTGTACTACTTGAAACCTGATACTGTGTTACTTGAAGTCCCTGTTCTCTGTAATGTTAGCCTTAGCCTTGCTTTCTAGACCATAACCAAAGCAAATAACAAAGGTCTATTTTATATAGAATGGGTTATTTGACAACCTGGCAAGGTAGATATCTAGCTAGGAAACCTGGCAAAATAAGATTAGGGTGTTCTTTAGATGAACTAACCTCATCATAGTCATTATAACACTAAAAAACAGCCACAGATCGTGAAGACCCTTCTTCTGATTAAGCATAGTAACAGAAGAGAATAACACTGCAGGTGTTATAATTGTATGTAAATCACTAACCAATCATTGTAACTGGAGTGTACTACCTTGTAATTTTTGTGTGTAAATGTAATGACAAGATCGGCATGGGGTGTGCTTGATTTGTGAAAATTCCACCTAGCACCCAGCGCTGCAATAAAGAAGTGCCTGCTGCTTAATATTATGTTGGTATTAAGGAGTTTTATTCGTCCTACTTTCATTGATAATGTTGCATCTGAAGTAGAGCCTGGTCTGCCTGTATTCCCCACCAGTTGTTGCATTCAGATTTGTTGGCCAGTCTTTGTGACTGAGGTTGCAGGCCAAACATCCATGCAATTGATAAGCTGAAGAAACAGTTCTTATGCAAGCTGAATTAGAATTTAAAAACTTTAACAGAATTATTTCTCCAGCTACTAGCACTTACATTACTAGCACTTCAAGTCCAGCTTACTCACTTATTATTACATGACATTCCCAGTAATGTGTATCAGCTCTAACTGTATCTTAACTTTGCAGTTCTCATGCTATATTCACCCTTCCTCTTGGTTCTAATGTTAGTGGTGTTTTCCTGAAGATGATGACTTGCCTCCTGCTGAAGTGTGTGCTGCCGATCACAATGCTCTGGGCCTGGCTGTTCAGCCAGGTTGGAGTGGTATTTCCTCTCTTCAGGCTTTAGGAGCCTCTTGCCATGGACATGACCTCACTGTGAGGTCATCATGAGTGCAACCCATCAGGCCTTGTGGACTTACACATGTTCAGGGTGGTTAAGTACTTCCTACTCTAGTGGCAGTGTAAGTCTGTCTTGCTCCAGACTTTAACCTCAGGGATCACAGATACCAGAAGTTTGATCTTATGATATGTGCTACAGGTGCACGTCTGTTTGTCTGCCTGCCAGCTGCGGCCCAGAAGCTCTTGACTGGCTCCTGAGAAATTCCAGGGCAGCGCTCCATGCACTCCAGCTGCTCTTCATATGAAGTGTGATACCCTGTGTTTGCCCTCACAGCCTGTGCCTTTATCTACCCTTTGTAGTACTCCAGTCATGTGAGCTATCCTATCCCACTGCATCATTGTGATCCTAAGGAGGTTACAGCCCTGTAATTGCACATGGACTTCTGACTGCGCCTGCCTGTTCCCTGTGTGGTGTGCATTAGTGTAGAGCCATGGCTGTTCTGCAGACACCTCTTTGCATGCCTGTGCTTGAAGGGATTACATATCAGAGTTGTTTTACTGTTTGCTATAACCCTATTGAACTGTGGCTTACTAAACCCACCCACAGACCTGTCAGTTGTTTGTTGAGGAACCTTTGCTTTAGCTTGAAAAAAACACAGCAACAATGGCCTGAAATCAGTCTGTGTGAATAATTTTATCATTTAGTAATACAACTGTATCATTTTCTTGTAATGGAGGAAAACTTTTATTTCCCCTGAAAAGGATGGGGGAAGGGAATATATCTAGAAGAAGTCATGTATTACCAACAATATGTCAAAAACCAAGTACTGCAGAGAAACCGAATTTAAAATGAAAAAATACTGCATATAGGAAGTGTTCACCAGTGAGTCTGAGCACCTTATAGTTGTTCTTAAAATGGCAGCTGGGAATACTGCAGACAACTTCTGATTTTTGCCATCTAGCCATACAAATAATGCTCTGCTTCTTTTTTAATTAATACTAAACTCCTCTAGTGGATTTTCTGTGCAGGTGGTGTGTAGCCACTGCATGCTGTTCTGGGTCCAGCTAATGGCAAATATATTTCAAACATAAGATGAAAAAAGACTAATGAAATTGCTTCCAATTTTTTTTTAATAACAAATAATGTTGCCTGAATGTGAAAACTTACCAGTGTACCAGTATTTGAATTTATAGAATTATCCTTTTAAGTGTCTTAAATATGTTCAATTCACTAGCAGTATTCTATCCTCTATCTTTACTTGCAGTTACCTTGAGTATTAGGGAATACTAGTACTTTTTCTTAATGAGGAGGGAAAGTGTGTACTTTTATCTAACTAATTTATTATCTAACAATAGGCAGTAGCATAGTAATATTGATAGGTGCTGCACACATTAAGAAATCAACTAAAAAACAATGAAGATTAAGAGGAGGAGTGTCCTTCCTTATTCCATTGGACAAGATACTGCCCATTGTAAGTAATTAATGGAGCCATGAATGTTAAGGTTACTTAAAAACATGCAGTTGTGGTTTCTTTCTATTATTATTCCTTTTTAATTTATGGAGAGTTATTTTGTTAGGAAAAATTGTAAGGATTATCAGTTTGATACTTTGGGAATTGATTCATACTGTGACTTTTGAGGGGGGAGACTAGCTGCAGATGAGCCCTGCAAGTCTTATCCCAGAATGTGGTGGGACTATGATAAGTACCTATTCAGGAAAGAGCTGTAAATATCAAAAATCCTGTGTTTTCTGTGGGACTCAGAAAATGGAAATTAGAAAAGCTTTTTTGTCACACCTAAACAATAATTTTGAGATTTGGGGTGAAGAATAATAAAGATCTGAAGTGGATACTTGGAAATTTCTTGAAATGCTGTAATGATTTCTTGAATATGCATTTTTAATACACATTTGTATTTCAACTAAGACTACATACAAAATGAAATATCAGTACCTCCTTGCAGCAAGAGGAAAGAGTAGACTGCAAACGGATGTTTTTCAGAAAACAAGTAACTGTTGATTCATACATTACAGCTTTTTGCTTCTCATACCGTTTCCACCCTGTGCGTAACTTGATTCTGCTTTTTGTACAGCTGAGTTACTTGTCGACCACACACTGTAAGAGTCAGTTTGACCTGTTATGTGTTCTCTGTGTAGGCATTATTGATAAATGGGCAACCATAAATTTTATTATGGCAGTTTCTATGAAAATGGACATTTAGGTGAGCAAATCCAAGCAGAGGTGGATTTAAGCCTTTTACCTCAATTTCATTTAAATTTCCCTAAATCAATTTATGACCCTCCAATGTTAAGAAGTGCTGTCAATGTCAACTAAAGAAGTTGCTATGGAAAGCTCAGTTTCTACCAAAAAAACCTGATTTTAAGCACAGTGGTACAGTCCCAAGTACATACTTCAAATACAAGTTGACATAATTAAGCACAGGAGTGTTCTAGAATTCCTGTCTGAGTAGGAACTGAGATGTGAGCCCTGATGATTCAAATAGACAAATAAAACTGTGCAGGCATGTTGTGAATAGATACAAGTACTGTCCTGGACATGTTTGCTAATATGCCTCCTTAGATTTGTAAAATGATAATAAATTAAGAGATCCTTGAACTGATAAACAACTGTTTTGCATAGTCAGTAGCTAAACCTCCCGAGCATTTCTCATACTAATAACCTTAAGTGCATGCACAGGACATCAAAGAAAATATTTTTCAGAGATTAGTAGTTTCCTGAGTATAACACAAGGGCACAGTTCCCATGCAAACACAAAATGTACCATTATTACTATGCTTGGATAAAAATTGTTTTCAAAGGAAGTTATTTTACTCGGGTAAGTAGAGTTTTTTCCCAAAACAAGGCTGTGATTCTGTGTTTTGGTGTTAGTTCCTGTTTGGTTTTGAAATGCACTCAGGTTTTTAGGAGGACTGTCTGGGGCCCAAGCTTTCCTTAACAGATGGCCTGCATGCTCAAACATAAAAGAGATAAATATAAAAGAAGATACATTTAATTGTTTCATTTATACAGCCATCTACTGGTTATGTTTACCTCTGAGATTACAAACAATATTCTGAGCCTCAAATGGTACCTTGAGGCTCCTATTCTCTATTTTATTCTGCAAGTGACTCAGTCACTGCTCCTAGTTTCTCCCAGTATATCATGTAATAACGCAGTGAATGCTATCTCTGAAGACTGAGACCTTTAAGTGTCCTCCCGAGCTCTAGGTAAGGTGGTGCGATGCCAATGCATACTTGTTTTGTGACCCAGTACAGTCTGTGTATATTGGATGTGTGCAGCTGTAGCTTGTCAGCATCACTAAAGCAAATTTTCATCATCTAAGTTTAGGTACCTTCTTTCTACAACTTTCTAATTTGCTGTCACATGTAGTCCTATGCGGTGAAGAGAGTGAAGACTGAAGGGCTGGCAATGAGAATGAGTTGAATCCTGGTTGTGTCCTTGTGTCCTAGTCATAACTTGCTTATTAACACTGAAACACATGCACTGTTCCCTGGTTCCATATTCAGCACTGCATCTAGTCTGTGGTTATGAACAGTGCTGTGTTATGGTTTAAGGCCAGCCAGCAGCTAAGTAAAACACTCATTCCCCCAGTCCCCAGAGGGATGGAGAGGAGAATCAGAAGGAAAAAAACCCATGGGTCGAAGTAAGAACAGTTTAATGATTGAAATAAAAGTAAAATGTTATTGTAAAATGTTAACAACAGCAGCAATAATAAGGCGACTGGGGGGGGGGGGGGGGGAGCGAGAGGGAGGAACAAAGTAATAAACCCCACTCCCTAAGAAAAAAAGAAGTGATAAGCAACACAATTGCTCACCACCTGCTGACCAATACCCCGCAGCTCTCTGCCCTTGGGGGTAACTGCCCCCCAGTTTATACACTGGGCATGATGTGCTGTGGTGTGAAATACCTCTTTGGGTCAGGTGTCCTGTCTCTGCTCCCTCCTGGCTTCTGGTGCCCCTCCTCACTTGCAGAGCATGAGAGTGAAGTCATTGGTTAGGGTAAGCGCTACTGAGCAGCAACTAAAACATTGGTGTATTATCAGCTTTGTTCTCAGACTAAAGGCAAAACACAACACTGCACCAGCTGCTAGGAAGAAAAATAATCCTATCCCAGAAAAAGCAGATGTGCTGCTTTTAGAAATACCCTTGATTAACACTTATCGCCAGATAGTATTCCTATTAACAGTATCTCAATTTAGATTTGAAGTTGACACATTGTCACACTCCTCTCAGGGAACAGACAATTTTTTTTCAAATGGTATCTGTTTGAAATTTAAGCAATTGCACATTTAAGGGCACATAAGAATTCAAGTGAATGGATGATTTTACCGTGTGTGGTGCAGAGACCAAGGCAGAAATATTGCACATACAGAATCTTATCACAGAATGATGGAATGGTTTGGGTTGGAAGTGACCTTAATGATCACCTAATTCCAACCCCCTTGCCATGGGGTTGAATCCTTCCACTAGACCAGACTGCTTGAAGCCCCATCCAG